TTTTTATAACATATTTCATGCAACATTTAAGACATTTCAGTTCTACAGACACCATTAAATAGTTGTACAACTGGACAGCCCAACAGTATCACACCACGTCTGATATTAACAATATATTAACAGGAATTATAGCACAGTTTCACTCAGCACACAACCTAGGGATGCTGAGACAATGCATGGAAATCATTGTATTGTTACAGCAAATGATCCTCAGACTTCACTTTCATTAGAAGTATGGAACCACTAGACAGATACAGGTCACGCTCACATCCCTGAAAGACCAGATATACCATCTGCATTAGTGAGAACAGCATTCGTGAACTTGTGTAATTGCTAGCCTCTAACAGCATGAATACACAGATATTTCCATTAACAAGTAAAACCATTGCCAACTCTCCACTGTCTGTGACGAAGGAAAGCATGAATGCAGGTGAATGAATGAGTGACACAGGTAACCCCCAATCTCATCTCAGGAAGTCATGACTAATGGAAGCTCCACCAATGACAGTTGTAAATGGGAGGGGAAATAATGAAACTTGATTCTGGTATTCTGTGAGGATAGTGCTTTAAAAGCCTGTAATGATGCAAAATTAGCAAGCCGATTAGAGCAAATCAAATAGGAAAGTCCATTTGGCCCACTAGCCAGGTGGTCTGATCTTCACACTTGAGCTCTGATTGAGATTTTGAAATGTTTACTAGAAAATGCATTTTTTCCTCACCCTCTGTGTTTAATGGGGATGAATTATGTGCACAAACACACAGACTAATCAAATCAAATCGGTGTGAAGAGCCTACTTCATGGGCCTTTAAAAACAAGATGTGGGCTGTAGCTGGTACATAGCAAAAGCTTCTCCCTAGAACCGAGAAAGCACCATTAACGGAATTTTCCCCTGCCTAGAAGAAAGTATGAGTGTTTCTGAGTATGTGTCCTAAGGGGCAGCACTATGTGTGTGGCTCAAGAGTAAATATTTATTTCAATCTACTAAAAGATGTTAGTTGACTACAGTGTCAAGCATTTTATAAATGTTTTTTTAAAAGAAAAAAGGGCATGCATTTATGAAATCCCACAACAAGATACATTTTACATAAATCTGTTCTCCTACACCTGTACAACTAGAATTAGATCCCTTTACATTTAGTGCAGTGGGTGAAGATGTTTTCATGTTTACTTTTCCTCTGGTTAGAAATTTCATCTTATACCCATTAGGCTAGACTCATTCTAGGGCATAAAACAGATTAATGTCTAATACTGACTTTGGTGAAAAATTCATCTACCACATGAAAACAACAACAACTGACCCTGACACTAAAAGATTTAGTGCAACATATTATGTTTTCCTAGCAAACAAGTGTGATGAATATTTACCCAACAAGGAGAGCTACAGATTGCAGTTTCTAGGAAATGATTAGAAAGGCCACACAGGGCTGGTTGCTGGGTGAGTGAGTATGTGGGAGGACAAGTTCCAGGGTCCACTCAGGTAACTAACAGAAGGAAGGGGCTCTTTGAGCAGCGAGTCAAGGTTGAAAGTATGCACTGCACTAAGGCTGTGAATCCTGGCAACACTAAAAAGATTTTAACAAACACTAACTTTTGGGTTCAGGAGGGCTTTTAGATAATTATTTTTCAGATGTTGGTGTTACTGTATCTTGGTATAGTTTGCTGAGGTTTAAATATTTGTCTAAAATGCCATGTGGCTAGCTGAAAGACTGGAGGATACACTTAGATGGCACTAGGACACATGTTGGATGCAGTATGTCACAACGGGCCATTCATTATAAACTAACAGTCCAAAAACTAATGCTGTCTTATGGGAGTCCAGTTCGTCATTGAAGGTATTTTACTTTCTAAGACATAAAAAAAAAAAAAAAACACAAGTTTTTAAAAGTCTATTGTTAGCATAGGAATAGTTAGAATTAGTTTCTTAAAAGCAACTAAATCTGCTTAAAGCAAAAGGCCTATCATTCATGTGGGTGAGCAGGTAAAATCTTGTTTACTGTGTATGTTGACACCTTGTACAATTTGAGCAGTTTTAATAAAGAATTTATAATTTCATGTTTATCATCACAGTGCTGTAGCTTTGCTACAACTGAAGGCGTCGTTATGGTTTTCTCTGAAGAATTTTAACACTTCTTCACTGGCCAGGAAGTGGGGGATACTGACTCCGGGCAGCTCTGAGGAAGAGCTGTAAGGGCCTCCAGCTTCTCCTACACTTGAGAAGGTCTTGGAGGCAGGAGAAGCTGCTCACTAGAGGGCAGCAGCAATAAGTGGATTCATGGTCCTGTTGCAATGCTCGCTGTGAGCCTGCAGATGGGGCACTAACGTTTACATCTCCCGTCTTAGCATTTGACACTGGATGCACTTTCAACAACCATTCACATATGAAAAGGCTCAAATGCTGAATCATTTTGAGGACAGCTACCGAGATGAAACAATTTTCAGTCCAAATTTTCCGTTGCATTGGGGAAAGAAGGCATGTGCCAACAAACGCTGAAGCCTGGACTAGTCAGGAGTTCATTCCTGAGAGTATTTTGGGTGGTTTGCTGATGAATAGCACAGGCAGAAAAATTGCTACTAAACACACTAGTTTAGTTGCATCAGATATAACTGGCAATGGTGCCTTAGAATTACAAGTTAAAACCAATATGCACTTTTTAAGACATCATGTTCTTTTCCATCTATTTGTTAGGCCACTGGCTAAAATGACGTGTGGATATTTAGGCTGTGGGCAGATGGAGGTACAGTGTGTGTTTGTGTGTAGTGGTCACTATTATTCATAAGTAACACAGCTTGAAGTAGCACACTTACTTAACCCCTCACTGGCTCCCGTATGTTCCATATTTGAATAAAACCAGGATCTACTGATGCAATGAAGACTAGAGCACAGTCTCTCCTTCCATGTACTCTGCAATGGAAATAAAAGTGTTCTTTCTCTTGAGCTGCGTGGAGTTTTTCAGAATGGAATTCAGGCAAGGAGAGAGTTTCAGAACTGAGAATCATCTGGGATATTCCACATGATGTGGTTAGGAAAGTCAGACGTTTCAAATATTTCTCAGTAATGAAAATTAGGCTATTGTTTCATCATTTTTTTCCTGACCTGTGTATAGTGGTTCAATTTTGGGGTGTCTGAAATAGTGTACATGGGCATTGCTTAAGATCCTCTAGTCTAAAATCCAATTAATTTCAGTAACAGTTCTTCGGGGAAAGGGTTTCAAGAGAGCAAAAACCAGCTATTTCCCTTTCAAGCTTACATCCTATCCTCTCACTTTTTTTTCTCACTTGACAATAATACACATATTGAGGTCCTTCTGTAAAAGCCATGTGCAATGTCTTAGCCAGGCCTTGCTATCTATATGTGTGTGGGGGTTGGGACAGCGAGGGAGGACAAGAAAATTTTCCTGACTTTATGGCTCCATGCTAGAGAGTAAAAGTGAGCTTAATAGCTATGTCTTTTAACACAGCCACATTCTGGCCCGAGTTACAGATCGTGACAGTGTTATGCAAACAAGCTCATTGTTATAGACAGTCCCAACCATGTGCCTCCCCTCTCTGCTTCTTCTATTTCACTGGCATTTCTGTGATTTTGAAGCTGGTTGTTCCATTACAATCCCATAACACATTGACATCTTCTTGTCCTCACTAAGTTGAGATCTGTCTCACAGTGTGCCAAAGTGGAAATTTACTACCAATTAGCAGATCTTAAACTAAGAAGGTGAGAAATTACATGAATATGCTAAAATCCTCCCAAATGCTTCAAATGTTTCAAATGCTTCTCCTGTTTTTCCATCTTTGCACTAGTACTGTGTGTGGCTTAGTTCCCTGCTGGCTGATGTTTACTCCCTAGAGATATCTTTATGTATGCATATTTTCCTATCAATGCCTTTGCCCAATAAACTTATACCCAATACGTTCACAAGTTCTTCTATTTTTGAGCAGTGAAAGCATCTTCAACGCAACCACTGAAAAAGGGGCAATTTCATCCAGCGTGAGTGTCCTTTACTATCTGCCAGACATTGTGTATGATGCACATGGCATGATGCTACACAGTGCTGACACCAAACTGGAGTTTCCTTTTAATGCTTAGCACAATTTGAAGGACTGGTTGCCTACTTGCTATTCGTGTATTTTCCTCAGGAAGTCTACATGTTTAAATGCTTTCTTCCTTGTCTGAAATTGCTATGGATTCCCAATGCTTCTGCTACTCTCAGCTACAAAGTGTTCTCCAGGCAGCCTAAGCATCTTGCCTAATGGGACTATTGAATGATGAACATCTCAGTTGAAATAACTAACGATGACATTTGCTCCTCTTTAACTCAGAACTCACTGGACTAGTATTCAAACAGTTCCTCAATAGACAGAAGGACACGGCCGGGGAAACACGTCTGCTCCTACAGAAAGAGCAGTCCTCATAGACTTTGCAATCCAACTTTGATTCCAAGAGTTGGTAAATGGTTCCAGAAAGTGATGGTAGTGAGGACGTGTATAGTATGGCAGTGGCAAGTCATTAAGGAAATGAGGGGAGTTGAGGCCTTGGAATTATTTAGGTACTCATGCCCCCTCTTGGTTCAAATGTGTATTGCATAACTGGCATTCAGCAGCCACATCCATTCAATGCTCTCAAATATTCTGAGAGCTGTGTAAAATCAGGAGAAAGTAGTCCTCAGTAAGGAATTTGCTTTTAAAGCATGTAGGCTAAAATTATTGTTGAAACCAAATTCCAATAAATTGAATGTCACATTTAGAGACAACATTTCAATTTCTTTGTAGTCAACGACCTCCCTGGTTATGTGTAACAGTGATAAAGAGATGTTTCCTTATGGGAAACTGATCAGACTTAGGGAGTGTCACTAACCAAGAGCAGATTTTCATTTGAAGTTCAGTTCAGGGTAAAGCAAATGCAATCTCCTGACACTTCCCATATTCTTTCCTTGGTGCACACACAAACAATTCCTTGGTGTTCATCCCTACAAGTGAAGAGCATAATTTTAATCCATGGCACAGAAGTCAGCTATAGTGAAATCAAAGTCTGATGCACCAGCAGCAGCTTAACTATGAAGGAATTTAGAAAAATAGAGAGCCTAGAAGACAAGTAAATAACACATCACATGCAAGTACTAGATGTCTATAGATGAATAGTCCTTACAAAGTTAAGATCACATATTTGTCACAGGAAATCACCCAAGATTTGAATGCATGTACGGGGCCTCTGACATCAAGGACTTCCTTCAAATAATTATTAGGCAGTATAAATGAAGGCTAACAGACCATTTATAAATGCTGTTTGTTGGCAACCAGAGCCCCTAGGAGCTTCCCGTGTGTGTGTGTGTGTGTGTGTGTGTGTGTGTGTGTGTACACTAACAGCCACAGGAGGACTGCGGTGGAGGAGGAGTCTCCTTGAGTCTTGTGTTCTGCTTTGCCGCAGTGATGGCCGGGTCTGTCTCCAAGCTCTCTGACATTTTGTCACAGATGATATCCACAAGTCGTTCAAAGGTCTGCTTGACATTAATGTTATCCTTGGCACTTGTTTCAAAAAACTCAAACCCTGGAAGAATACAGAAACACAGTTGGGTCATTTCACACTTTTTTGAAATGAAATGGAACTTGATTATGGTTTTGGATGGTCCTGGAGTGGTGGGAGTTTGGTTGGTGTAAGCATGAGGTACCGTTCAAGCAGATGCTGACATCTTGATGCCCATTAATCATGAACAGGAGGGTTTTGAAGTACAATTGGTGATGTTCACAATTTATTTTTCTCTTCCAATTCATTTAAGCTACCAGCATGATTGCACACCTTTTAAGAAAACTATCCACTTGCAAGAGTTAGTAATGGCAACATAAGAATCATTAACATCAAGTCAACCTTTGCCATCTCTTCTTTCCTTGTACTGTTTGACATTTTATTCTTTTCCAATTTCTGGATTCTACCCAAAATCGTACTTTTAATTTTTCTTATTAGCTTAAGGTTTAGAAGATTGTATGTTTATTTTCTGCTGCAAAAGAGACTATCAAACTCTACCATAAGTCAGCTCTTAGCTTCTTGCATGTCCAATCTTGCTGCTATTCTGTGATGGATATTGGAAGACCGGTCAGTTTTCAGTGACTGGTAGGCCACAAGGTGGCAATGGGGAGTCACAGGAATTCTCTTCAATCCATTCCAACTTCCTTTAGGAAAATTTTGAACAGTGGTGGTCTAACAGCCCCTGGGGCTTTTTCGAATACTGTACCAGTCTACCAGTTGCTGATGTCTCCAGGTTTCATTATCTAGCAGTAGCAATTTTGTTTCTTTTTTTACCAAAACATGGGCACTTGATCCAATGAGCTGAGAGAATGATGAGAAGACGCACAACACCAGGGCCAGAACCACCCTTCTCCGGATGTCACTGTACCTGGGCAGAAGCTGCCTTCACAGGCTGCGATAGACACACTCTTATCACTCTATTGTTTGCATTCACATTCCACTGGCTGAGCTTGCCAGTCAGTTGCCATGGCAACTTCCCCACTAGGCCAGACACAGATTGCTCAGGTCCATTCAGGGGATGTTGATTTAGGATGTACTGGGCTGCACACAGAAAGGCTTTACTAATCCATCCAGAATTTTACACCCTATAAATCCTTCTGGTTACATCTGGCCCTATCTCAGAGGAGCCACCTGGATTCGGAATGATTAAATCAGGCGGTTTCATCCCAGCTCCTGCGGCCAAAGGAGAAAGAACGAACTAACACTTTGCATCATGTGAAAATCCCTCTGATAACCTGGAAATGCTTACTTTCTTAAATAGTACTGCGGGGAGAGGGGGGAACAACAAAAAGCAGCTCATCTGAATTAACGTTTCTAATTTAATTATGATACTACTTGATTGGATGGCTACATCAGAGCCTGATTTTCACCAGCAAATCTGTCGCTAAAATCCAAGCGAATAATTGCAGGATTTGGGCTAAAAATGGATCGACAGAGCCAGGTGCTATAAAATGGAAGCAGACATTTGAAACCATCTTTGCTTGGTAATTCTCTTACATTTTGTCTCCCTGGACAATGCTTATATACTTATTTTAGAGTCTGTCTTTATAAATCTATAGGTAAGGCCACTCAATGTTAACAGAACTGTTCTTAAATGCTTGTTCAGGCTATAGCAAGACACCATTCATCATCTAACAATTCATCTTGGGGGAGGGTAAGTTGCTGAGATGTTAGACCTATTTGCATCTTAGTGGTGGATATTCCTAGTGCTAGTGGGGCAGGAGGGAGTGTGTGTGCGTGCCTCAAGGGGTGCCAAGAAGCTGCTGAAGAAGTCAAGATCCCTGGATGTGTCTTTAGAGGCAGAAATATCCTGCATATGATATAAAGGTCTCATTTACAGGTTCGATTCATTCATCTCTTGTGCTAACGTGTTTTTTTTTCCATTACATTAAAAATGTGAGTTTGGAAGGCACTGAGCTTGAAAGGATCACATCACAAAGAGAGAGAGAGAAATATTCCCTAATTCCCTATGTGCCAATTCATTCCCTTAAAGGCTGGCAACCAGTGCTAGCGCAGGTTGAAGCCAGGAGCGAGGAACCTAACTAGGTTTCCCATCTGAGTGGCGAAGACTTTATTCAAGCCATCATTGGTTGCTTTGGTGGGTGTGAATTAGTGGGAAGCCAGAATCGGGAGTGGAGCAAAGTTAGTTCAAGGCAAGCCTTAAACCTAAGAAGCTCAATATGGAATGCGGGCATCTTAAATCAGTGTCTCAACAGCCAGGTCAGTGCCTGCCCCAATATTTCTGCACTTTAATCACAGCAACACAAGCTCAATCTTTAACCTTGCATCCATAGACATCCACATCAACAGGGACCTGGAACGTTAGTCAGTGATGCTTTAAAAACACGCTTTGAAAACACAGAAGATTTTTTCCAATGCACTGGATAGGAAAGAGTGCTGAAGTCCGAGAAAATAAGTAGTCCAAGGTCACACAGCAAGCCAACTGAGAAGTCTGACAAAGGCCTCCTGATAAATAGGTTACAGAAATAGCTTCTAGCTGCAGACACCTGTCCCTCCAACATCAGTGGGTATTAATAATTTCAGCACACGACAATGTCTTAATCCGTGAACATGTTAAATACAGACACATATGCATCCTTTCTCATTCCTATCAGTACCTTTCCGGTTGTTCCCTAGCCGAGGCAACGGCAGTGGCTGGATGACCCATGTACTGTGTCGCAACACTTTTTTGTTTTGAGCTTTCCCATGCCTGATCTTGGAAAGACCACTCCTACCCTGTTCCAAAGCTACTGATGGCACAGTTGGACATGAATTTGTATATGACCTTTTGCTTTGGATTCACTTGTTATGAAGTGTTGTATCACAGCTTGCATAGATCTTATCTGGAAGAAAATGAAGAGCACAAAGCAAACTTGCATCTGCATCCCTAGAGGGTGCATCCCAAGGGGTGTCATCAGATATACTGATTTCATGGGGTCGGAGGTGCACCTGCACCAGAATCACTGGAAAATCCCATTTTAGACAAGCTGACCTGGTTTACATCTGCTCCCTTTGCTGTGCCTGGCTAAAAGAGGACTCTAATGTGGTGTGGTGAACTTAAAGGCCATGAGCTCCTCGCTGTTTGGCTGGCAGCATGGGCTGGTCCTGGACGTTGCATGCTGTGATTGTTTTTTCCATGCTGCTCCCTGGAAGTGCTCACACCAAGAGACTTCAGAGAGGTCTGGCATCTCTTGACTAATATACGCTGAGGGCAACAAGCAGAGCTTGTGGGTCAGAAGTCTTGCTCACCTGGGTGGCAGGCTTCAAGCTGTCACTCTGAAAGATCGCAGCACCCTACAGAGCATCTGTTCCACTTGGAAACATACTGTGTTAATAGTGATAGTCACAATTCCAGGAAAGGATAAAGCAGATTTTTTTTTAATGGCCATTTCAAGCCCCAGGTCCTGGCTTCCAGCCAGGCCTAACCACACGGTAGCTTCCTTTGGCTTTTGTCAGGATTCTGAAACTAGACATTCTATGGCTTGACAAACCCTGGTCCATGTAGAGAATGCTTCTTCTATCCCCTTCCCCTCTTGGTACTTGTGGAACACTTGCATTTGGCACTAACAGCACAGACCGGAGTGGCTGCAGCTGGCTGCTGCGGAGGCAGCACACGGTCCTGTCCATTGTTCTCCCAAGTGCCACAGTTATCATCCATTTGCTGCCTTTCGTCACTTCCCCTAGCCCAACACCGTCCCTGCACACGTACAAACACACCCCAAACCCTCCAGGTTAGCCAGGCTCGCCCCCTCCTGGGTGGTGAATGGATTTCACACAAGCCCTTGGCAGCCCTTCCCATGTGGTCTTCCCTTAAAGCACTCTACCCTACCTCTCCTTCTTCCCTGTTGAACTTCACCTTCAAGAGAGCTTCCAGTATGCTAGATCGGACCCCTAGATGTGTTGAAACCTTAACATCAAACTAAATTTAAAAAGAAATCATGTTTTCAGAGACCAGCATGGTGACACTACAGGCTAATCCCACACCTGTGGTTTTGGCATCTTATACGGGCACCAGTTCATGTCCCAGCTGCTCCACTTCTGATCCCACCCTGCTTGTGGCTTGGTAAAGCAGCAGAGGACGATCCAAGTCTTTGGGACCCTACACTCATGTTGGAGACTCAAAAGAAGCTCTTGGCTCCTGGCTTCAGACTGGCCCTTTGGGGAGTAAACCAATGATGAAGACTTTTCTCCTGTTCTCTACTTTCTCTGTAAAACCTTTTAAATGAAAATAAATAAATCTTTAAAAATATATTTTTAAATAGATAACTTCAGACATCTGGCTTAAGGAGTACTGAGTAGGTATGTGAGGGCCTCCCCTGGTACTGGTAGCTGGTGTCTCCGACTGACCATAATCCCTGTCACTCCTGACTTTCTTTGACACAAAATTTAAATTCCAACTGACAGTTCTCTTACTACTCACTTCTCTATTAACAGCAGGAACATGGGAGTCACATAGAGAGGTGCCTACTGTTTCAAGAACAAGAGAAAAGTTCACAACTGTTATAATATATGAACATATGAAGAGTTATTTTATAATATGCCACTGGATTATTATGTAATCAAAATAAATAATAAAATTTGTTTAGTTTGATAACTAAGTAGACTAATATTTTCTTTATGCGCTACAACTGATGATCTTAAATACCCCATTTTTGGCAGATCACTGCAAGGATAACTGGTCTAAAATGAAATCCAATCTGCCTGCTCCAAAGTTTAAAGCTCAGTACTAACTGTTCAGGATGTGTATGACAAAGTCTCTGTTATACAGTTCTTCAAACAAGACTCTTTGGGATGTGGCAGGTTTCCAACACTTAGATATCCCCAGATTTACATTTCTTTTGCCTAAAGGGCCATCTCCTGTTTGTCCACCTGTTGTGTCATATTCATGCTTTGAGACTGGGCTCACAGTTGCTCCATTGCAGCCTTTGTTGGGGCCTCCAGATGGGGATGATGTTCCTCTCATGAGCTCCTCTAACACTAAGTCTTTACTTCCACCATGGCATTTACATACTGTCTTCTCAGAG